CAGTTTAAAAATTAATTTCTTACATAAACAAAAAAATGAGATCGCATTAAGAATACATAAGTACTAGAATCATATCTATATACAGTGTCGGACAATACTAAATAACTTAAATAATTTCAAACTATGCTTCGAAAAATATCCATTTGTGAAAGAAATTTTTAAAATGTTAGGTTATTTACAAAGAATTAAAATGTCGGTGCTTTATTATTGTCCGACGCTGTATGTATCAAACAAACAAAAGAGTATTCATTTAATGAACTCATAGTAAAATAATTTAATCTATAAACATTTTTTTTAACACATTAAATATTTATATCTATATCAATACTATCATCGCTAAGCGATTCTTCGTCGTTACAATTTTGTTCATTTCTCATTAACCTGACGATATCATCTGTAAAATCAAAATCATGACAACATTTCTGTACATTTTTTAAGCCATATCTTACAGTTAACAAAGCGTTTAACATTGCAAAATTCATCTTATTTCTGTGCTTATTTTTAACGAAATTTATTATAGAAAACGTCCTTTCAACTTCTGCGTTACTTAAAGGTAAAAGAAGCAACCGATAAACAAACTTTTTCCACCACTTAAGCTAGCGACACAATGAACAGTTTATTTGCCTTAAAGGAAAGGCGTTCGCTTTATGAGCGAAGAGTTAAATTCATGAAAATCATATAAAAAATTTTAATGTCAATGATGAATAAATTTTGAAAAGGGCTAAAAAAAAGGGCTAGGGGCAATTTCAAATTTTTGTGGCCAAAAAAAGAATTTGGTAGCCAAATTTAGCCACCAAAGGGCTAAAACGGCAACACTGCTCGCGAGTAGCGTTTTGCCCATCATTGCTGTAGACAATCACTGTTCAATTTTTAATATCCTACAGCCGTTAAATACAATTTCGTAGAATTTCAGTGGTTGGCCAGTGGGGACGACTGAACGACACAAAGCTCTACGGAATAGATTTCCGTTCCAATACCTTCTTGGTCCTAGCAGTGTAGGTACAGTTGGTTTACTTGTTAGCAAACTTAGTATCTTCTTCATCTTCTTAAACAGTAATAACTCAGTTTTGCTTGGGTTTACGTTAAGACCTCGAAGCAAAGCCTCTCTCTAGAGCTCTCTGACCTCAGATCGCTAAGCACACGCCTTTTAATTGTGACCGCACATCCAAGCCACTCTTTGCCAAGGACCTTTACAAGGTACAGCTGCAAATTTTGAGGTCCGCGGTCAAAAGAGCTAAAAGGCTTTCCTGGCACGCTTTCTTCGAAAACCTTCGCTTTCAAACCAATCAGCCTCTCCTTGTTTTTGCTGAAAAGACAGGGAGATTTTTATAGCCAAGGCTGGAAAAGGCTCTCACATTTCTGGCCCTTTACGTCATGCTTAATATAGCGCCTGTCGGTATCAAAGGTAAGGTAGTTACAGAAAGGACTGCAGTCAGATTTAGGGGCACCGGTGGCCTAACTAATTAACTCCGGATCTGAACACTCTTCTATTCTCGGGGGCTTCGATTGCATTGATGCTAAGATGGATCGCTGCGTGACTAGCCTGGGATGAATAGACGGGGCAGCGGTTGGAAGAATACACCGGTGGACACTTACACGGACGGATCGGAGATTTGCAGAAGAGTCGGTGGAGAGTTCTTTTCGAAGAAGATCTACATAAACTTCAAATTCAGGATTACAGATCATTGTAGTGTTTTCAGGCGTATGTTGCTGCTATTAAGCAGCGTGCCAGAGCGCTGGTATAACTTACGTTAGGATCGAAGCTTGTGGGGGAATGCCTAGATTCTCTTTGGATAGCGTCGGAATGTTACCTTGACAGGCTTGTTTGGTGCCGCAATTCGTTTTCCGATTGAGATCCACGCAGTGAGATTAAACATCATAGGGCACCCCCCTTTGTCGCAGATGCATGGAGAACGACGAGGTGGAACCCTATCAATACTTCCTCTGCATTCTGCTGCCTGCGAAACCTCGTTCTCTACACGCAGCGCTTCTCGCTAGTAGTAGGACTTATGCCTACGGTCTATGTGAGTCCCCTTACACTACCTTTACCCCAGCACTTCCTCTACGATATTAATTATAAAAAAAGGAATCAAAGGTCCTGGGTTTACTAAAACTAAATCTTCAGCATATGCCACTACTTTAACTACGGTTCCAGTGGGTTCAAACAGTATGCCGTTCAACGCTACTACCCATAATAGTGGAGAGACATATTTTTCCAATTTACAGCTTTTTAAGAAGCGTATTTAATAGTTTTATATTTGTACGAGTATTTCTGGTGCAGCTAGTTTCAACTTGTTGAAACTCACCCAAACATGCACATGCAAAACGTATCATAATAAACTATCCTTTCCCATCGAAATCACTAGAAATGTGCAAACAAAAAAATAGCCCGACGTTAGCCACAATTTACTGCTGACTAATCCAGTCTTATCAGTGACTCATAGCAGTCAGCGACTAAGCGGTGGCAAGGCATATTAAAACCCTATAACTTAATCTTCCACCTTGCGGATGGCAGGCATTAATCGTTATTGTAGACAGCATAGAACAACAGCAGCAGCAACAACAACAACAACAACAATAATAAATGTTTGAAAAATGTGATCATAACTAAGCGCGCATCCTTCATTGTGGCATCCATGCCATGGCGAACGTGCCACTGTAGAACTGGTGCCATTACTCTTTCTACCAGCAAACGGGTAAATAACTCAAATATAAATAATAATAATAATAATAATAATACACGGCGAGATGTTATCGTGAAAAAGTTGCAAAGCTGCAAGAAATTTATGCGAAATCGTTGTGCGGGTAAGTACGTCCAGAAAAACTATATATATTCATACGTGTACATACATATGTATGTATGTATGTGCCTTAAAATTCATATCACTGTCGACGTGCAACATTTCTTCACAAGGATTCTTTTTTCCAATGCAATGGGAAAGAGAGAAATATGTTGCTGGGGCCGGTCTGTTCAACTTACGTATGTATGAATATAAGACAGCGCGAAAGAAGTGACGCAGGGCTCAAGCAAAAGGGACTAAAAACATAAAAAAAACACTTTTACATTTGCTGGAATGTACCTACATATATCTAAAAGTAGAGAAATGTCTGTGGCAACAGTGGCAATGCAATATGTATTTTTTATAGGAAATTTATTAATTTGCAATAATAAATTTTGTGTCTTTCGATTTGGTATCGAAGGATAATTATGGGTTTTGTGCACGAATACTCGCAACTCAGACATTTCGTTCATTTAGCTCAACCGTTCGCCACATTCAGCAGCATAATTATTTATTGTGCCTGCTGTTTGTCGCTATGTGTTCACCGCAACCAATGGTTCAACATGTACGAGTTTTTGGGCTAAATTTTATAACTGGGACTTGATATGCCATAAGAAAAAAAAATAAAAAAATAAAGTAAAGTAAGTCAGGTTTTGATAAGTCGAACAGCAACTAAGTACATTAATAAATGGCAACACAAGAAATTAATCCAAATGAATAACAGTAAAAACCTGATGAATTCCTCAAACGAATTATACATTTCTTCACATTTATCCAACATTAGGACATTTGTATGCAGAATAATAAGGTCAATGAATTTGTTTAATTTTCTTTAATTTTGCTCAGTATTTTCGGTAGAAGGGTTTTGACAAATGTAAAGGCTCAGAAATATGTTTAAATTTATACATTTATCTACAAGAAAAACGCTAAAAGAGCTAATCAAAATTTGGTATAGTGTTGCCACCTTTCCAAAAGAGCTCGCAAACTCAACGTATGCGAGAAAAAGTATGCTTGGACTTTTTGTGGTCCCCACGTGCTGGATCTCGCAAGCGGATTTTTCAAGCAGGTGAAGACGGCCAGTCATATGAATTCTTCTTGCTTTAGTATGAGGAACAATATAGGGTGAATCTGTGTGTATAAAAATGGAAGCAATTTTTTAATTATGTGATATAACTTTAGAAATTTTGCTCTTAAGAGTGTCGAGATTGAAAAATCAGTACAAATTTCGGAAATAAAGACTATTGCGTACAAAATTGGGAATTGAAAATTTTCAGTACAGCTAGTCAAAATTCAGTACTGTTCTTCCCAAATCAGTACGTCTGGCAACCGTATTGTTAGGCATTGTCGACTTTAATTCACGCCCACCCCCCATCTAAAATACTGTCGGACGCAGCACCCAAGTTATCAGAGATGCGTATTACCGCACGGACCAGATCAGATTCAATGCTAGGTCGGTTTTTTTTTGCTGAGCGCCTGTCTCGTTGTTTTTTTTTTAAGCGACCTACTCCCTGCAGGCACTGTGGAAAATCTCCGAGTTATTTCTGCCTTGAAACAGCTCGCGAAAACCAATTGTATTACGAAGGCAGACCTAAAACTGTAGCATATTATTAGGGTGTGTGAAAATATTCAATTCTGAAGATGTCCTTCGCATGCGGTATGGATCATGGCAGGGCTTAGTGGGAGCGAAAGCTTTTCAGAACAATGTGACGTTTTTCTTCAACGACTTTATTTTTTGACACATTATCTAATAACTTGGAAAATTTTATTATTTTTCCTTAACAGGTGGAGTTGAAAATTCTTCACTTTTGCGCTAAATTAAATAGAAAATGGCACTAACCAATTTTTAACAGCGACTCAAAATATTCGCGCGAACGATTTTCTGGCGTACCAAAAAAGTCAACATCGTTTAATTCAATTAATTGCTGTCGCATTTTGGTTCGTGTGCTCGATAATTACTTGCAATTATATGTAATTACATAATTACAGTTGCCGTTGTGAAGCGGCTGCGCTTTGTGCAGGCATGTGCGACGCGTGTTAGCCGCTTAGCGCGTCTATAGATAGTAAGGAAATGGCATTTGATTTAAAGTTCAAAAAATGCTGCATTTATTTGCGATAAAAACGGAAATAAATAATTTCAAAAAAATGCCATAAAATCAAGAAAAGTCCAAAACAAAACAATTAACAGTAAGGCAGCAAAGGCATTGCATAAAGCATTGCCAGTTAGACGCTCAAACTGAGCAACAAAGCAGTGCCGCGCTTAATCCAATAGTCCGATTTCTCAAGCCCCGACTTCAAGTCCACTGGGATGATAAAGGAACCGGCACGTTGCGGATAATAATAAGCAGGGCACTGGTATACACCACGAGTCTTCTTCTTCAAATTCTCTACCGGCTTGAAGTGTATAACAGGCATTGGACAAATCAGCTCCATGGGCAGTGGATCTTGCAGGCATTGCATCTTGCGCAGCCAACCGGCACCCTCCAAATACAAATTACGCACATAGACGCCGCCACCTTCCCGCACAATGCGCGCCGCAGCCGCATCCTCCTCGATGAAGACATAAAAGTCCCATGACAATTCGTCGATGGGAGTGCGGGTGGCGCGTGCCGATGTCTGCAGCACGGCAGTGAGAAAGCCAGTGGGAAAAGTGTATGCGGCCAACCAAAAGAGCAGCGGCGGTTTCAGTGTCTTGGCCCATTGCGCGAAATGTTCTATACGTAGAATTAGATCACGCGACCACGAAGCGAGTGGTTTGAGGGAAGGATAAGCTGGCAGCGTTCCGGAAATATAAATTTTAGAAGCCAAAAGCAAAAAAGATTAGACAGAACTCACCTTGAAGCCACACCACAGGCACGCGACCTTCATAAACTGACTGATAGATATCCTCTAATTCGGTGCTCATCACGACTAGGCCCTTTATGCCACGCTGTAAATCTCGCATGTGTATTTTCATTCTCCTCAACAAATAGTTATAGCGCTCAATCTCCTGCAGCAGCACTACCTCGAGTGGCGAACGGTTAATGCCGATTAATTTGGCGGTCTGCTCGTAGTTGATTTCGTCCGGTATGCTGGCGTGTATGTCCTTAGCCAAGCGTAGGACCTTAGTCTCCATACTCTCACCCACCGCAGCGGTGGTTTGCACCTGCATTGACATGAGCGTCTCGAAGAGCAAACGAGTTTCGCCGATCAGTGAAGCAATATCGGCATTGGGATGTTGGCCAAATGCTTCCGGTTTGTCAAAGTTTGGAAATTGTTGGATTTGATCAATGTAAGACTGCAGATCGCCATCCACAGGTATGAAGTAATTCAGCAGCGACGAGAGGCTGTAAATGGATGTAAGGCATGGCATGTCTATATTTGTACAGCGACGAAAACCCCCATTTAAACTTACCGGAATTTTTGGGTGGTCAAAGCCGCATCACAGTAAAACTGATTAATGTACGTCGTTAGTAGACGACGATCCCAATCATCGGTCACGTGCCCACCATAATTGATGCCGGCAATGAGATATTTCAATGCACCCCAAGGTGTCTCCTCATATTCGTTCAAATACAAAGACAGCAATACATCTGAGACCTCAAAGTCAGAGTCATTGAAACTGTAAATAACATTCCAACCGAGCTGTAAAAATTTCTTGCGCTCCAACAGCACCGTATGGAAGAAGCAAAGCGCGAATAGTAGCTTCTTGTACTTGCCCGTTTCGTCAATCGTCTCGAAGTTTTGCTCATCAATATTATTGTACAGGCGACGCATATTGGCCTTTATGCCACGCGGTGGTTCGGTGGTCATTTTAATGCTTGTCTGTAGTATGGAAATCGGAAATTCGGGATGTGGACTCGAACTCAACCATAGTCGGAAGCGCTTGTGTAGCTGCATCGTCTGCATGGTAGCAATAATCTTGTCCAATGTGGGCATCCAACTCAAGGACAGATGACAGTTGGCCAGAAATACCCAGTTGCCATCGTGTACACCATCCATGATCATTTTCGTAGCGACTGGCGCCTGACCTTGACCCAAACTGAGTGAGAACATGCGTGAAGCCATTTTGCATTGTTCGGCAAGCGTCAGGAGCGATTGTGTTGGATCTACGCCAGGCGAAAGCACAAAGATGAGCGGCGTTTGAGGCATAGACTCGTCGAAAACGGCCTTCAAATCCAAAACGGGTGGCTCAACAAAACGCGGCCCAAGTGTATTGATAATAAATTGCGTGAGGCAGAAGGAGATGCGATCGGGACGTAAGCAACGTACGACGCAAATCTTTTGGAAATCCGTTAATTTGTCATTCCACTCGCCAACCAGATCTTCGGTCTCCGGCGAAGTTGTTGCGTACCACACTAAGTATTAAAGATGGTTAATTGCCATTTAGAAATCAGTTAAGAGCTTACTCTGCCACGCTTTTGAACTCTGCTCAAACGAATCGATAATGCCATGGAAGCCTGGAAGTTTGTCTAGTTCAGTTATGTTATCCCAAGCTTGCTCGCTGATCCAGACTGCAAGTAAAAATGTTACTCTACTCTTACAACTTTTTCAAATAATAAAAACTCCGAAAACAGAGAAAATTGAATTAAAAAACGAACATGTTTTTTTGTAAAAAGTAAAAATGTACATACATATGAAATAAGTTTCAAAATGAAATGATTATTAAAAAATTTTCCCAAACACTAAATGAAATTTAATGTTTCATATTTTTTTAAATAATATAGTAAAAATAAAAAAAAATTAAATTAAAAAAGTTAAAATAATAAAGTAACTTGCTAAAAATTAAATGAAATTAAAATCACCATTTTTTTAACAATAAAATTTCAAAACTAAAAGAAAATTTAACTAAAAAAAGAAAAAAAAATGTATCAAAATAAAAAATTTTGTATCCAAAAATTAAATGAAATAAAAAATATTTTACTTTTAAAACTATAAATTTTAAAAATTATAATAAAATTCAATTGAAACAGAAAACAAGTTCTAAAAAAAGTAAATTGAATGCAATTAAAAAAAAAATTAGAATTTCTAAAAATTAAAACAAAATGGAATTATAAATGAAAATGAGTTTCTGAAAATTAAATGAAATAAAAAATATGGTTCTTTTGAAAACAATGAAATTTAAAACATAAGCAAAAAAACGTACTAAAAAATATGAAAATATTGTTGCTATAAATTAAGGGTTTTAGGAATTATGTTTCGTTTTAAAGCAATAGCATTTAAAAATTAAAAGAAATTCCTAGAAATTAAATTAGAAAAAATATTTAATAATAAAAAATTTATTGAAAGGAAAGAAAAATTGTATTCAAAAAATAAAACAACTTCCCTAAAAATTAAGTGAAACCAAGAAAAAATATTTTGTATTTTAAACAATAATATCTAAAAGTTGAAGGAAAAATTCGCTGCTCGAGGATTCGATCTCGGATCTCTGGAATGAATCGCTTGTGCTTTGTTTAACTCGCTTTTGGGACTGTTGGAGCAGAGAGAGCAAAATTAAATACAAGAGCTTTCTATCAAAAGAACTTTTCACCATAAAAGTGGGAAGGGAGCTTTTTTTTGTAAGACTTTCGTGCCAGAACAAACAAAATCCTTCAAACTAACTTGCCTACTGTATTTCAATTTACTTACAAAAGACTTTGAACTATCTTAGCCAGAATTTCCCTTTTACTTCGTATTTGGTAGATAGTCTGTGCCGATCTACTCACCTGGACTTGGATTGGGCGCCTGATTCTGTTTGTCCAGTACAATGCCACCCTTTAGAATAAAATCATATTCCGCCTCCACCAGTTTTCCGGCGCATTGTAAAATTTTCGCCGTCATGTGTATGGAGAAGAGCAGCTTGTGCATTTCGAATAGGCCTCGACAGGTATTCTTATATACAGAATATGTGTGATAATCGTTTATATTTTGTATGCGCTCGAATAAGATTTGATGTTTCGGACTACGCTCGATTGATTGCACGAAGAGTAAAATATAGGCGGCAAGCGAAAACTCATACATCGGATCGATTTTCGACATATCCATTAGCACGAAGAAGAGTATGGCTGCGCGTTCGGCCGCCGGTTGATATTCCTGGCGAGCAGCATCGATCTCGATCTCGGTCACTTCGGCGGTGGCCAACGATTCTTTCACCAAAACCGAAGTCTGGCGTGACTTTTGTAACGTAGCGAAAAGTTCATCATCTTCCAGCAGTGAGCCGCGACTTTCATTTAGCAAACGCAAGATGTCGTTGTCCAATTCGATGAGCGTGCGTTTGTTGCGCGCAATCGTCAAGACCAACTCATCTTTTTGCTCCTCCAAAGCGGGTTTCTCTTTGCGCACAATTATGCCCAAGAGTTGTGCCTGCAAGCCGTCTTGCTTGACAGCGAAATTAACGATGGTCGTTTTCGATGAAATTTCCGGTGGATAGTGGGGATTGGTTATTTTTGTGGTTATGTAGAGTTTGAAGGCATCATTGTAGGTTATGTATTTGTCATTGAACTTGATTAGCTTTTGGCCTCCTTGTATGGTAAAGCTTTTGCGCAAAATCGGATTAATGGCTTGATCCAGGTACTCGCTAACATTTTGTAGTAGCACTGGATTACCGGCGGACATCGCGCGCTCCAGCGAGCGTATATAATCATTTTGAGAGAAATCGATTACCTTCAAATCGTTATTGGCCTCGTAGTTTTTAATCCAAGTATTCGCTTGTGATTGCGGATCGATGATGAGTGGCCAACGTTGGCCGCGCATAACAATTACACCATTTTCGGTGCTAAAGTCATCGGCAGGCAGACCCTGAATATTCCATTCGCGTATGGTTACGGCATCGCTGAGGAAAAGTGTTATTTTCATTTCGTCTGTGTAGGGAATTTGATTCGATGCTATCAATGCGATCCATTGCTCGATGAGTGACTCGCGGTACTTGGTGTCGAAGGGGCCAAGGTAGGATGTGAATGCGGTGGCTAGTAGGCAATCGCCAGGCAACTTTTCGAACGATAAATCCAAGGCAGCCACAGTCTCAATCCAACGTTCTCGTTCACCAGACAAGGATTCGACCAGGATAATTGCGCGCTCGAGTTGTTTTCTGTGAGAAATAGGGTTAGAGTTGGGGAACTATGCTGAAAACCATTGCAGAAGTAAAGGCAGTGTTTTACTAATCAGCCTTGCTGATCAGTAACAATTTATTAACTATGTATTGAAAAGAAAAGACGTGAGAATCAGGTAATCATGAAATTTGGTGTCCAAACTTCTATGTACGGCTTGTCAAACCATTAGATTATTCAGTCTCATACATAAATTACTAAAGTTAGAATTTGAACATTAACTTCATTCCATTTTACACATTGTGCCGGGACCAGCACGACTTTTTCATAACCACATCGGCAGTAGTTCAAGACTATTTCAAGATTATTTCATGTCAAGTTACGAACTAACCCGAAAATCCCTCGAAACAGTCTTAAAATTGTACTGATTTTTTTTTGAAAAGGTCGTAAACTTGTGCCGAAGAGATCTCGAACAAACCTTGAGAGGGTCCCGAAATAGCCATTTGCTAGTCTCAAAATTATTCCGAATTAGCCCCAAATGATCTCGATGTAGTCTCGAAATATGGCTGAAATAGTCGTGAAATATCTCGAAATTGTCCTGAAATAGTTCTGAACCAGTTCCGAAATGGTCCTGAACTAGACCCGAATTGAACCCGAACTAGGCCTGAACTAGTCTAAAATTCCCCAGAACAAAGCCCGAAATATTACTGAAATAACTACGAAATGGTCTAGAATTAGTCCTTAACAGTTCCCGAAACTCCCGATCTCGAAATGATCCCGCAATAGTCGCGAAGTGGCCCTGAAATAGTTCTGGACAGGCCCGAACTAGTCCTAAAATAGTTCTGAGCTACAGTTACAAATTTTCTGCTGGGCTACCGCAAACAAAAATATCACGATTCTGAAGACCCTATTATAACTACTTTGGACTAACATATTTAGCCCTTAACAGCTCTGAGAAGCGCCACTATTTTGTCAGCAATTGCCCACTTCTTCTTAGTACTAGCTTGCCCTACTTATATTTTTATTACTTATAAATTCTAGGTATTCAGCAACTTTTTTCAAATCACTGAAAATTCCCACGCGTTACCCCCCCAAAACTTACCTCAACTTTTCTTCTTTAATTCGCAGTTCATTAAGCATTTCTGTCTTCTCATTTAATTGCCGATATAGTTCGGTAATTGCAGCATTAAGTTCTGCTAACTTTTTCATAGCAGCCGCTAACATGGCTTGCTTCTCGGCCAGCGAGCGCGTGGCATTGTCTAACTTCTCCTGCTTGGGCGCCACGATGCGATACACTTTGGCATAATTCTCAATGGCCATAATCCATTGCATAAGTGATTTACAAGCCACCGATACTATTGCGACCTTTTCTGGTTCGAGTTCCGGATTTTTCGTATACAAGCTAATGCGTTTTAGCGTTTTATCAGTGACATGATCACGATCAAAATTCTTCAAATCATTCAAAAAGTTTACATCACCGAGCACCTTCTTCGCATTCTCCCATGTGGGCTCCTTGCCCAATATAATCAGTACGGCTTCCATAACCTTCTCAATTTTCATTGGCGGCCGTCCGTAAGACTTCACCTCAGCCACATCTTTTTTGCTTAAAGCATCTAAGGCTTTGATAGCCGCATCTATCATTGGTAGAACAACGTCCAAGTCGGCTTGCGCTGTTGCGGCCAATTCTAGACAAATAACTTCCTCTTGGCGTATAACTATCGCCTCCGCGTCAACTTTTTCTTTCTGTTCTGTAGCCTCCGCCTTTTGTATCTCAATGATTGCAATGAATTCTTCGCATTCCTTAGCTAAGACTTTCACTTGCTCCGAGCTGACTTTGAGTTCTTCCGACATTACTGAGACTTTCTCTTGTGTCTCTTGAATTTTTGAGAGTCCATTTCTTAGCTTGTTTGCGCTGGAAGATACCTCGTAGCGTTTACTTTCGAGTAACGCCTTAAATCCGCTAACCAACTCTAAATAGTTGGGCGATGTGACGTAATTGTGCCGCTTCACTTCGGCCAACATTCGCACAGACATTTCGGCTACGCTCGAGTGAATCACGGAAAAGACATAGGCCACAGCTTTTTGTAACCTCTCTTCCGAGGTGATAACCAAGCTGTCTCTATGTTTCTCATCCTCTTTGCCGGGAACCGGTACATTTATCGGGAAGCCGAGTAAAAACTTTTGCGCTACCTCCAAAAGTGCTTCCTGTGGCCATAGACGAAACCAGTTCGGCGAGGTGTTGTTGATTAAGGCTGGGTACTGTCGTATATAGCTGCGAAACTCCTCGCCAATGGGACTCATCGCTAGTACAATGTGCATATTCTCACGCACGTTTTGCATAAAGAAATTATATAGTGCTTCGGTGGTAAACTGCACGCCTGCCCTCTTTGCTGGACGTTCCAGTTCCGTTTTCAAATCTTCGAACTCCTCCGCCTTGAAAAGGTTCGCTTCACCGGTGCTCAGCATGTTGTTTAGTATTTCAAGGAATGCAGTTTCGGCAATTTGTTCGTTGCTGAAAAGAAACACGGTGCCACGTTGCTTGATGCCGGTGATCTTGTAGAGATTTTTCAGATCCTCTTTGAATTCATTCGTTTTGTACTTCTTTGTAACCTCTATTGTAAATGTGCCAAATTCGCAAATAAAAGCTGCCAAACGCACGAGTGACTGCCGCCCCGAACCGCCGATACCAATGTTCAACACGTGTCCGCGCGGTTGTGAGATGACACGCACGGCGCGCGTCACATGCTCGATAGCCTCCTTAAAGAATACCAGATTCATGCGCGCCATGCCCGGGAAGTTATTGTATTCCTCCATTTGGCGATTGATATACTTTCGTAAATCGTCGAAAACCAAATCTTCATAGTGACCTTGATTGCTCATAAAGTCGCCAAATATGGGTACGATTTTGTTGGGGCACAAACCGTGGAATGTGACCTCCATATACTTGCCTAGTATGTTGTTCACCTCATTCATAAACCAGCCCTGATCCAAATCGTCGACCAAACGATCGCTGAATACACGAAACACTTCGTGCACCCACAAACGTAAGAACATAGCGCGCTTCGTCTGCGCTTCGTGATGACCGCGCAGCAGTCCCTGAAATATTTTCGATATGTCGCGCAAGTTGAACAAATAATGCGACTTGGCTGGCGTGGGCAGCATACGTGCAACCACAGCATTATATAGATCAATTGTGCTGGTTGTGATTTTCAGAGCAATCTCGCGTATATCATTGGCGAAGGGTATTAACTTTTGCTGAAGCATGCTGCCGAAAATGCGCATGATTGTCGCCTCGTTGGGGAATGTCATATTGATGACGACGAAACGACTTTGTGTGCGTGGCGATATCTCCTGGCGTCCGCCACCCGGGGGACCCATGGCTACCATTAGCAGCGTATTCTGTACATAGATCTTCTGTTGATTCCGACGACTAAACCAATATTTGTAATCTATCCACTGTCGGATAAGTTCCAATGGCGGCTGCGATCCGTAGGTGTCTTTGGCAGGCATATTGAAGTCGTCCATGAAGCAAATCATACGCTTGCCGCCGATTGGGACGTAAATGGTTTTAGTGCGTTTTTCGGTGCGATTCTCAATGGATTCTTGCAAACCGGCGGCTGTGGTCTGTAAATAAGTGAATTTTTTAGGATATTTTGGGTGGTGTCGGTTCGAGAAATTTACCTGCGCCGAGATATTGATGGAGAGCACTGTATACTTATTTTTATCACACGAGTCCATTACACTGACTGCGGTAGATGTCTTGCCTGTGCCCACATTGCCCACTAGCATGACTGGGTGTTCTTCTTGCAACAGTTTAGAGACAAGATATTCATAGCGCACAGTGTCCACAGTGGGCACAATGATTTTATAGAAGGGAAGACTGCGGGAGAAAAATAAGACGTCTTATGATTCTGAATAAAATTTGTTAAAGCGTAGGTTGAAGGATTTCCCCTGTTGTCATGGTCAAGAACAGAACAATGTTCTTCTCGTCTCGTACAGAGATTTAGGTATAGTTTAGGTTAGGTAAAAAAAATCGTCCGGCGTACCAGGCTAACAAATTCTTACGTATTTCATGCCGCTGAATTGGAATCTGAGTCACAATTTGAAAGTGGGTTCTTTTTGAATACGAATACGGCAAGAACCAGAAAACGGAATATAAAAATTGAAACACTGATCTAAAGCAGTGACGATCAAAAAATATTTTTACCTAGTCCGTGTCCAAATAAAATCTTTAGGACGCTTTAAAAAGCTTTTCATTGCGAAATGTGTTTTGGGTCCCAAGTGATTTTGAGTAGCTATGCCCAGAAAGCTTTTAACGTAAGCCATAGATCAGAACGAGCTTTTACTCTGTCCACTTAGTACATTAGGGTGGTCCAAAAATACATGAAATAAAAATACGAAAAACTGTTTTTCCCCATATAAAATACACGGAAAACGTAATGCGACTGAGGAATTTCTAATTTAAAAAAAAAATAAATACGGGAATTTTTTTGCCATTTAAAAAAATCCTAACTTATTACTTTTTTTGGACCAGCCCAATGCACATACATATATCCAAAGTGTATAGAAAGCATACAAAAGAAAGTGTGGGAAAGGCGGTGCTCAGCTAGAGCAGTGATGGTCAAAACAGCCCCGCGGGGGGGAACACTTCAAAGCTATTTGTAGATTTTATGGATGAACGCGTCCAAAGTAAAAGCTCTCTATGAACATCGCTGATCTAGAGTCAGAAGTAGTGGCGATCATAGAGAACTTTTGCTCTGTGCACGACCATATAAAATCTATAAAAAGCTTTAATAAGCTTCTCCCGCGAGATTTGTTTGTGGAGTGACTGCTCTAAAGCAGCGATGGGCAGAGAAAGGCCTTACTCTGTTCGCGGCTATACAAAATCTATAGAAATCTTTAAAAAGCTGCTCTCCCGGCATGTGTTTTCGTCCTGATTGTTTCAAAGCAGCGTAAAAGCTCTATCTGACCCTCTCCGCTCAAAACTCTAAACTCACTTTTCATCATATTTCCAAGCATCTGAAAGCTTGCTCTCCCACGGCATAAGCGTTCTATGTTCTGGATCGACATAATAATCATAAACGGTATCCTTGATGGGGAAGGAACTGTCTATTTCTCTTATGAAGAAATCTATGCGGAGGCGACTATCTTCATCTACAGTTGCGCACACAGACCAAATGAGCGAGAATAGGTACCACAATTTACTCATTGTCTCCAGCAGTTCAGCATTACCAGATACAATACCATTTTGTTTTGTGGAAAAAGCTTCCAACAATTTGCACATTGACATAACCACATTCAATTGATTTGTCTTAACTATTTCCTTGCAATGAACTCGTTTGAACTCCAATACCCTATCCAGATAGTAGTCAAAATATTCGCGTAGAAAATTCACATGTTCTGGAAGTTTTTGCCGAGCCAACCATGAATTCACGTACGGACGCCAACCCCAGTCATTGTAATCATTGTACACCATGCCACAGCGTGATACCGTTGCCGGTGAGGCCACCGCCAGATCGGCTACTTCGAATAGCAGCGATACTTGTGCTGGCATAGTTATACGTTCGCTATTCACTAATGTCAGAATTTTGTTGTCATCCATAACAGAGTTCATGTTCTCAATCCACACCGCATCGACGGGCCCATCGAATAGCAGCCACTTCTGCGTGGGATCTTCATCGGCGCATATAACACGCATAATTGCACTGAGTACACCGTCCAACCATTCGCCGGTCGCCAAATTGTATTCGCCATAAAGCTCGGCTAAATTGAGCGCCTTTGGATTGACTGGATGCACAATGACTGCCTCCCAGCCTAGATGTTTGTTGGCGTTCATACGCCCAAAGGCGCCTTGCAGACATTTCCAAGTCACCGACTTAGCGGTGCCCGTACTACCGATAATCATCGTAGAATGGCGTGAATTCTTCGTCTCATACAGCTCTATGATCTTTTTAATGGCGATTGGTATGAGCTGTAGACCATTGCTGCGTAGTTCATCCTCAATTGCGATCTTGAAATCGCTGTAGTCAATAATAGGTAATGTAACGCCTGGAAAGATGTCGGACATAATGCCATTGAAAAGTGGTAGATCGTTGGCTGTCAGCCGCGCCACATTCATATCGCGCATAGCCAAGTAAACGATTTCTTCTTCGTTGGTGTTTGGTAGTTGGCGTCGCTTGCGCCCAGCATAACGCAGCAATGCGACCATGGAGCGTAGGCCGAAATCATAGTGATACTGCTTAGACAGCTGCTGCTTGGCCAGTTCGTAGAGCGTAAAGACCTTGCGTGCCAAGCTGCGGGTGTTCGTGAAGCCATCGGAGAAGAGCAAGTTCTCGGCTATGATTGCGTTGTCCGGCACCATCATGGCGATCGGCCGGAACATAGATTTGAGGTTATCGGGCAGTTCTGTGCGTCCAGCATAGCCAGGATTCATTGTGATGAAGAGTCCGACGGTGTGTTTTAGTTTGATTACGCTGCCCTCGAAGTTGAACTCGGTGAGTTTGGCGGAAAGTGCCGACATGATGGAGAGAATTTGTTGCGCTACGACGGACAACACTTCGATATTGATGCGATTGAACTCATCGAAGCAGCCCCAAGCGCCAGTTTGCGCTAAGCCAGAAAAGTTCTTGCCAATGCTCTTGTAGTCCAAACCCTCAGAGCAATTCGTGACAATGACCCAGATACCCAAAGCTTTACCCAAGTCTTTAACTGTCTCAGTTTTGCCAGTGCCAGCTGGCCCTTTGGGACTGCCACCGCGATGTAAATGTAGTGCCGTTGTTAGCGTTATATAGCAACGATCTGTGAGCGGCGTGATCACAAGACGACCCGAGTTGCCGGTGTACTCGTAAGCATACCAATGCTCGGTGTTAGTTTGACGTATGACGCAGAGTTCAGACTCGCGATGCCAATAGAAACGCAGCTGCGAAAACCATTCGAAATGGCTGATGTCTTTGCAATTAACCTTGTACATGCGTTCGATGACATCACGTCCGTGAATTTCAATGGTGATAAGGGTATTCACCTTGAGGCGCATGGTTTTCGGCAGGTCCTTGCGACTCAGTTCCGAAAGTTTAGCCAAAACCTTATTCTGTTTACGCTTCAGTTTGCGCAGTGGTTTCTTCTGATCAACCATCTTGCAATGGATAAGACTGCGCGTGCATTCGGTCGTCCATTGAATTTGACAAGTGGTGAGCAGCATTTGGCCTGGCCATAACGACATCCACTGCTCGCGGTTGCCAATTAGTTTCTTGAGCGAGGCACGAGTTTGCTTGAGTTTCTCTTTCATAACGCTCAACATGAAATCCTCTACGACATTTAGCCACTTCTCAGAGGGCCCTTCGATATACAGTACATTGAGAAATTCCACATATTCGCCATCGTCCGAGTACATGCCCATTGCCTGAAACCGACTCATACCTTTGCCAACACGTTTCAACTCTAATCTGTATAAATTATCGAAAAGCTTCTTCAGATGTGGCTGCACCAGATCCGGGCGTTTGGCATTGCCCAAGATCTCCAATAAATCATCGTTGGAGATGAAATAGAAACGTGGAAACAATTGGCGTTTAGACTCCAAATAGATTTCGAGCGCGCGTTGTATAACCTCGAGACGTTCGTCCATTTTATTGAAGCGCTCCAGCAGAAATGGTGGCTGGCGCAGATGTGTCGCACGCACAGCGTACTTAGCATTGTACATCTTGGCGCTAATCAAACGAAATTCATCAGTTAGGCTGGCAAAGCGTTTTGCCTCGTTCGGCAATTGTTTGCGTATATCTTCGCCAGCGAAAATATTCTCCAAATATAACCATTGGCGTTGCACATTCAAAGCCGTTTCCAGCGTTTCGGCGACATACGAGAGAGTCTTCTCCCAGTAGTCGACAACCTCGATGAAAGGCTCCACAAAACGTGTCGACTTCATTGCTGATATTTGAACCATATGTTCCTCGAGCAACTGCATGCAATCGTCCACATTCTTTATGCGGTATATGCCATCTCTGTAGAAGGCCATTTCGAAAGTTTGCTTGTGCCAAATACTTGCAATATTCTTAATGCCGTTTTCGATTTGAAGTTCCATTGTGGCGGCGTTTGAGATATCTTGGATCTCTTCGGAGTAAGCTTGAAAGTCCAAGTTGATAATAAGTTCGAGTTTAAACTTTTTGGAATCCTCGTCGAAATCCCTAAATTGGAAGAATTGAGCTATAAAAACAGATTCTGGGGGATAAGAGTTCGAATGCAAATAGTATTGAAGGGATTTAAGTGGTATTTGAGTGTGCAGAGCGATGAATGAGCGGCTGAGAGAGTGACTCCAACTAGCATATTATCTATGACTTTTTTAATAACTACTGTAAATGATATTGTAGGTCTCTACCTACAACTATTTTTCTAATATTTTTTTCCGAGAAGGTTTAGGCATCTGCGTGTTTTTTTAAATTTAGAAATTTAGGACTGATCTGATGCTAAATATGGCGTTTAATGTATCAAAACTCAAGAGGAATATGCGCATTTTTTGTTTGTTTGGAAAAGGGTTCCGTTATTTCTGCCATATTCTACTTAGAAAGCTACATATTTAAGGGAAACTAAATCTTGAAGATACATAGAATATGTTTCTCAGATTGTATCGGGTTCTATAATTCAATTGACTGTTCCAAGAAACACTTCAAGTGTGTTGGTGTTGGTTGATTTTTCCGACAGGGTGGTAAGATGATTTATTTTGGAACGAATTTCCGTCATCCCTTGTCAAGTTGGGTTTGCAGACAAACCGGTTTCGGCGTTGTGCCATCTTCAGTGTCATTTTTCGTTCTGGGAGATGCTCTTCATACTGAAACGGCTAATAGCTACTATATACTTTTGTACATATGTATATCGCTACCTTAATATTGAAAAGTCCTATCTTACATTTTTGTCTCTTTGCAGATTAAGTACAGGCAGACGGACCTGGTTAAATCGACCCAACCAAACGTCCTGATAATTTTGGTATAATTTTTACATAGATCTATCTATGTATTCTTCTATTTAGTACTTACAAATATCGGACCAAATTTAGAATACCAATTCATGCACATGAAGGGTATTAAAACTAATTGTTCAACTACGTTAACTTCCTAGGTAGCCCCTTAACCTTTTTAAATCATTTCGCAAACGTAATGGTTTCCTATAAATCCCTATACACTCTCGCTTCTTCAATACGATCGCACTCTCAAAAAAACATTGTATATATTTACACGCCAACAGTTTCTCGTACAGCATCCCAGTGACGCTTTCGCATGCACGGATTCTTTAGCGCCGTTATCAAAGGTAGTGTACGCCGAAAGCTATCGACATTTTTGGTAGCCACCTGCAACATTTCCCATTGCCGATCCATGTAACGTTTATTTAAGGTACTGAATTCCTTATATAGATTAATAGCAGTATCCTCCATCACATCAATATTTGTTTCCCAAAAGTTGGCTTTACGCCACTCATCCCATGCCGTTTGCCATTCGAGTATGAGCTCCCAAATACTTTTCACAGTTTGTAATTCATTTTCCAATTTTTTCAAATCCAAATTTTGCGGTTGATTGATATGAAATGTATCTAAATCATCAATAAGACTCTTCTGAAAGTTGAAACAATCGTGTACTTTATTCTCAATAATTCTCATATATTTAAGTGCAATTTTGGGTTTGCTGTTTGGGAAAAGGAAAGAAGGAAGGAAGTTAAGAAAGGATACGAGAGGTAAGGCAAAACGAAATGTTAATGTAAGATGCATGTGTATGTGTGTATGCTAGTTAAGGTGCAAATTTTACGTTTGTGCCGAAGTCGGTAGTTTGACCAAAAAGTCGGCTAGAAACTCTTTCATGACGGTCTTGAATTTTTCAGCCTGCCGCAGCAATTTTTTCTTGAATTCTTCCCGTGTCATATCTAACATATCGCTAGAGTCCAATAGGATTTTCAAATACGCTTCCCACTCAGCATCTAAATTGTTGACAAGCTTGCGAGTCGCATCCGGTATTTCAACCAGATAATGATCCAACAACTTGAATAGGCTTAGTATGGCTGGAAATTCCTCTTGCTTGCGCGGTGCATCATTGAATAGAAATTCATAAAGTTCTGTGGCTTCACGTGCCTCTTTTAGATTACGTGGTACAATTTGAATGCGTTCGCCATTTTTGCGCATATAACGGTAGACACCTTGAAAGAGAAGAGAAGAGTTTAAAGGAAGTGTTTTATAGATAGTTTAGACTTGACTTTTTAATGAAATGCGTGAAACAGATTTTCGCTGTGTCGCTAACACTTGCTAACACACCACAATCCTCGAGACTAGCAGGTCAATTCTGGCTAAGATAGAAAAAAGTCTTTCGAAAGACAAATGAAAGACAGATTGCAAGATAGTTCGAAAGACTTATTATTCTAGGACAAAAGTCTTGGAGAAGAAGCTCTCCCTCCCATTCACCCCTTGTGGTGAAAAGCTTTTTCTAGAGAAAGTATATTATTTAGCTCGCGTCGGTATTTTTCTTTTTTTATTTAATTTTTACCTTTAAAATTTTAATTATAACTTTTATTTTTTATTTTTAGATTTATTATTATTTATTTTATTTTAAATTTATTTAATTTTTATAAAGTTGTTTTATGTATTTTTTCTTTCTCAATTTAATTTTCTTTTAATGTCTAGATGTTATTGTTTAAAAATTTATATTTTTTAAATTTCATTTACATTTTAGGAACTTGTTTCAATTTTTATTTGTTTTTTTTTATTTTTAGATTTTATTTAAAATATTTTTTTCTCATTTGACTTTTAGCTTATTTTATTAATTTAACTTGTTTTCGTTCGTTTTAGCATTTATTTTTATTTTTTAAGAAAAACATATTTTTTATTTCATTTAATTTTAAATGTTCTTTATTTCTATATTTTGACTTTGCTTTTTTGACTTTTGTTATTTAATTGTCTTTTATTTTTTAGATACGATTTAAAAAAAAAAACATTTTTTTTTAATATTTAATTTTAAAGTCACAATTTCTTCTTTTTTGATTTAATGTTTCCTTTTTCTAATTTAATGTTTAGATTTTATTGTTTTAAGAGAAACAAATTGTTTTAATTACTGATTTATTTTAAGTTTTTTCTTTTATTAATTTAATTTTCTTTTAATATTTAGATTTCATTGTTTTAAAATGAAAAGCATATATTTTTTAATTTGGTTTTTAAAGTTTTTTGTATGTACTTTTTTATTTCTTAATTTAATTTTAAGATGCCGTCAATTCCATGTGAATAAATTGTTCCCAGAATTTGGGAAAAATTGTTTTTGTCTTGCTTTATAATTTTTGGGAATATTTATCCATGTAAAGTTCGCGACAGGGCCGAATATTTCTTTAAATTTCATTCAGTATTTAATAGCTTATTTTGCTTTTTGCTTTATTTGGTTAATTTTTTCTTGTTTTAAATTTAATTTTCTTTTGATTTTTAGATTTTATGGTTTAAAAAAGAAAATTATTATTATTTTTTGATTTCATTTAAATTTTAGAAACGCACTGTATTAATTTCTTCTTTTTATTTTATTTTAATTTAATTTTTTTTTGTTAATTTCACTTTCTTTTAATACATACATATATTTTTTTGTTTTAAATTGGAAAAATGTTTTTGTTTTATTTAATTTAACTTTTTTTTATTTATTTTTTTTTGAATGCCGGTTTAATACCAAAATTGATATTCTTCGGTCCTCAACCAGTTATAGCACACCTACTCACTTCGGCCATCGAAGCCAAGGCCAATAACTGTGTGGATATTTCGCTCCACAATGACTGGGGGACTCCAGTTGCCATAACTCTCAGAGGGTCTTGCAAGGTATTTATTTTATTGCATACAACTTGCGGGACTATTTATTGGACACTTTACATGGCATAAACACCTGGTTGTGATAGCCATACATGACAACCCCATTTCCCCTTCCAGCCTTTAAGACGATGAGACAGCAGAGTAATGTTTCTTCGTCTGCACCGCCTTTGTAAGGAGTTTACTTACACTTACCATTTATTTTGGTAGTTGCACGACGTAGCAATAACTTAATATTCAACATTTGCCATTTTTCGATATAGTCCATAATGGTGTTCTTAAGAAAGTTCTGATTCACCAGTATGAAGTACACATTTACAATGGAATCTTTTAGACCAATTTCATCCGCCAATAAGCTATAATTCTCTATACTCTGCTCGAAAATCTGCGCTCTTTGATCAGTTGCCAGTATGTTTTTCGTAAATTCTGCTTCCGTTTTCTCCCAAATATGACGATAAACACTCCAGCCCTTGAGAAACGTTTCGATCTCTTCCTCATTATATTTCACTTCATATTCCAGTGATGATTGAATTTCTTTAGCATCAGCGTCTTTGGCAAAAGTTGCAGAAAATAATGGCTGCTGATACGCTTTTGGTAGTTTAAGTTTAGTTGTTAGTCTAGGGAAAATCGCCAAACTTGTGCTAACACGTTCAAACATGCCAAAAAAGAGTTGAATGATTTCTTTCATAGGAGGTTTCAGTTGTATCTACAAATAAAATGGATGGATGAAAATATGGTAAGATAGTGTAAAGCTTGCATTGGCAGAATGTTTTTTTCTTTTACTTACCTTGCCGTCTACAATATCCGCCTCCAAAATGAGTATAGGCGAAGGAAGTATGTCACCTTCCGAACGTACCAGATTGTAAATATTCATTAGGGAGTTACGCGCACTGGTCATAAGTGCAGCGCTCAACATATTGTCAAATTGGGTGACATATTCGTACCACTCAGTTTCCATCTTAAAGGAAAAATTAATACATGAATGATTTAAAAAGAGATCAGAACCCCAAATCGCGGCACCCCAGATCGAAGGATTGCTCGGTTAAAATCGAATGGAATAAAACGACAGCTGTTTGCTCTAAAATATAATTTGGATCTAAAAAGCAAATTCTGTATTGAGTTTAAATGAAAAAAAGAGAAGGTAATAAGTGTCTAAAAACTAAATGAATATTAAAAAATATATTTTTTAACCAATAAAATCTGAAAATTGAAAGAAAATTAAATTTAAAAAAATGAAATCAATTAAAGCAAAGAAAAAATATAAAATAAGTAGCTAGAATTAATTGAAATGAATATTAAAAAATATGTTTTTTAAACAATAAAATCTGAAAATTGAAAGAAAGTTAAATTAAAAAAAATGAAATCAATTAAAGCAAAGAAAAAATATAAAATAAATAGCTAGAATTAATGGAAATGCCTTTTTAACATAACTTAATATAAAAGCTAAAAAAATCAAATTAGAATAAGCAAAAATTAATAAAATAAGTTTCTAAAACTTAAATGATTATTAGAAAAAAATATTTCTTTTCAAAACAACAAAATCTGAATTTTATTTAAAAGAAATAAGTGATATACTACAAGCTGCTGGAACTTGAATTAAATAAAAAAATTATATTTTTTTTTGTTAAAAAAAAATAAAATCTAAAAATGAAAAGAAAATCAAATTAAAAAAGAAAACGAAATTCAATTCAAAAAAGAAAAAATAATTAATGAATTTCTAAAAATGAAACTAAACTAATAAAAATATGCTATTTTTAATGTAAAAAAATCTAGATTTAAATTAAATAAAAAAAATGTTTGTTTTTAAATAATCCAATGAAAAAATGAAAAGAAAATTAAATTATTAAATTTAAAAAAAATGTATCACAAAAGAAACAAATAAAAAAAGTTCCGGAATATTAAATGAATTTAAAACATAGTATTTTTTCTTTTAAAACAACAAAATTTAAAAATTTAAACGAGAAAAATATAGGGTTTTAAAAATTAAATGCAATTAAAAAAAAAAATTTTCTTCAAAAAAGTTTTTCAACATAAAAATTGGCAAGGGAGCTTTTTAAAGTAAGACTTTCGTTCAAAAAAAAAAAAATAAATCGTTCGACTATCTTAGCCAGAATTGCCCTGTTAATCTGTAAATGAAATTTCGAGTCGAGTTTCTTCGATCACGATTGCCGCGATTCGGTCCCAAATTTCAGTACTGACTATTTCAACATACCAGAGAGCTAAACATTCAGGCACTACTAACCTCATCTAAAACCGGTTGAAATTCCGTGAACACCGCAAAAAGTACATCGACGATTGTGTCGTAGTAAGCCAAAATAGCGTTCGTCGCTTTGCGTGTGGCGGCCTGCAGTGCCAGCTCGAACACTGACAATTCCACAGCTCCACTTAAGATTATCTTAAGCAATGCTGTATCGCAGATTTTCTCACAAGTCTTGGCAATCTGACGATTAGCGCGCTTGTAAATATCCAATGAGTCCTGCAATTTCTTGGTGTGCTTTGCACAATCTGCTATATAGGCGTCGCTCAATTCGCCACTCCAAGTGAGCTTGAAGAGGCCAGGCGCAATTTTGCGATCACAAGCATGGATAAGAGCACGAAATAGATTACGCTCTTGTTCCGAGAGAGCAGCAAGTATACGATTGTAGTCTAAACAAACCGTTAGCACACTATTGTACACAAACTGTAACGTGCTATAGCGATCGTAAACCTTACGAATCAGCGCTGGTATTTGAAACCCAAGATTATCGAAATGACGCGCTTGCTCGCATATGCTCAGCAGTGTACGATCCATATTGCACTCGATTAGGCCACGTTTCACCTTACTGCGCACGATCAACGTACGCTCCAAGCGGCTCTCCAAAGTGTTGCTACTACAATTTTTCACCCATTCATCGAAAGCTTTTTTAATTTCTTTTGTGTAGTCCTTTTTGAGATGTTCAAACTTTTCGAGTACAATTTTCGCCTCCGGCACAATTGGCAACCAATCGGAGGTATTGAGTCGATCGCGTAGCCACTGTAGACGCTCAAGATTTATACGATAGCCAACGGCGCGAGAAACATAATACGGCATCCAAGACTCATGCAGCTTAACACGTTCCAATAACATTTTCGTGGTCTCTGACATTTCCTTGTCAAACATTAACCAGACGTCACTCACTTGACGGAGGTACGTTTTTCGTATGCTGGCGCGATAAGAGTAGAAGAGTGTTACGTTCAACACCTCGAGACCCTCCTCGATATTGCAGATGCGTTGAAAAACATTCGACATCAGCCGTTGAATGGTCTCTTCGAAACTTAGGACTGTGCGGCGATATTTCAGAACCTCTTCATACCTGCAACAAAAGTGAACAAATTTGAAGACATGGGGGTTTATTAAGGTTTTGGAGGGTTTTCTCGTTACTGCGGGCTATACACTAGCCAACCATTGAAGCATACAAACCATGATAAAGGCTTTACCAATCTAAAGGGGTTTAGATTGACGGAACAACAACCCTCTTAAGAAATCCTCGACAACCATTTGCACCACCAGGATGAAGGAGGTCGGGCAACAGCTGAGATTCCACGCCACCAAAATACCAATTATTCGGGTAACTTTTGATGCCGGCTCTCTTTTTCAGCGCACGCAACCGTAATTGCAAATAAAGTACAGAACCGGGGACTAGTAGGAAGCAGTGGATGAATCCCTAGGTCAGCCAAACTGCAGCACTTCGGACAACTGTCCGATGTCGCCTGAAGATCACCTTCATAACCACGCCCAGATGCGTCAAGTTAAAGGGCTCAACATTATGATCAGCAAGCAGTTCCCTATCGGTTGCTACATACGAGAACTCCCAAACAGCCACAGGCTCGGGCACGTCAAAAGACTTCTCTGCGAACTGAAGGATGAGGATCACAAGTATCTACGTCAATCATTGGACTCGGCACCGTGAACTTTGAATGTCGTCATCGGAGTTAAGTCCACTCCAATTTCAGAGGAGAGTTCCTGCTATCAAGAGAGACACTGGCTCAATTGCTGTCTGGGTACTGGAGTAGGTTGAACTCTTACTATCCAGGCTACACCCTGACGTACCTTATGTATGTCTAGCATGTGAAGTTTCCCTAAATGACAACAACCACCTCTTCACATGCCCACTCAACCGAACTCAATTAATCAACCCCTTTGAATAGGCACGTTTTCTGGGCCAACTGTTAGTCGAGCTTGACAACTATTGAGACTCTCGGCAGGTTTAAGTAGCCGCTACAACCACAACAACGACATAATAATGCCGACTAAAACATCTTGATATTTCATGTTGGTTGCCTAATGTGAAGTCAGCAGAGAAGTGCTGGACTTCAAGTTTAAGAAAAGTTAAGAGATAATCGTTTCTCCACACCAGTATTTTCAGGTTAACAGTTTAGATGACTCTTTGTATAACCCCGAGCTGGCTAGTTTCTTGCTCGCCCTCGGACCATTAGGCGATTTTATAAGCGTGAAGGTGTGTGAGCCTACATAAGTATTTCCTACTCACCACTCGTTTTTGTTGACGTTTAATATTAGCTCTTTGGAGTCATGTTCTAATGCTTCCACCAGTATCATAAATTGCTTCTCAACGCCTTCTGCTGTTCGCTCGAATTCCTCGCCATTAGTACCGCCAAAGGTAGGCTTTGGTATTGCCTCGGTTTCATCTAGACGTCCAAATACAATCATCGATTCACAAATGTCAATCAGATCATTGAGCCGCTCAATGAAAGCATCCACATGATTGAAAATCATTGCATTTTCCAAATCCCAACCGATTTTAGGCTCACGCGTGGCATGCTCTTTGGACATTATGTCATAGATGGCCTTGTATGAGAGACAGCAATCGATTGACATATTAGCCATACGTATGCCAAAACGCGAGTTGCCCTGTAACACCTTATAGACATTGACTTGGTCGAGGCAAAATTTTATAATCTGATTGCTGAGGTTACGAAATAGTCCGGTGATGAGTTCGCGACGTTGATAGTACTCGGAGTTCAACCATATGTAACGTATGATATTCACAATTCGTGGTATGAGTGCTGCTACTGCAGCAGGTGATTCGGCTTTGTCAATCAACGAGCACGGCTCGATGAGTAAGAATAGATATTTAATATTTGATTTGGCTTCTTCCATTTGATTGTGGCACTCTTGGATCAGTTCATCCACTTGCTTAATATAGACGGAATGAGAGTTGCGCAATACTTGTATGATCTGCTGTACGTCTTCGTGTTGCAGTTGTGTGTCTAATCCTTGGAGTACTTCGACTACGAAAAGCAAAGGATAGGGGAAAATTTGTAAATTTAATTTAAGTAGAAAATTTTTAAATCAGATACCCACATCTATACAGCCAGAATTCATACTCTTCTGTGGGCACCACGAAATCATGTTGGACCACAAGCGTCTTATCGTTCAAAAGCGTTCGTATTTGCGTTGTCCAGTAGACTACAATCGATTCGAGATTTTTGACAAATTCGCGATCGTGTTGCACATCTGGGCGTGAGATCTGCTTCACCACATATGGCACATACAAAACTGTCAGACCAGCCATCTTGTAATGCAAGCTAGTGAGATAGCAGAGAAATTTATCCATTGCTCGGCAGAAGCGACTCTTGATATTGTCATTCCAATCTTTGTAATTGCGAAATATAGGTTGATAGACATATTGCATAATCTTCAGCAGGCAGCCGTCGACATCCTCTTGAATGGTGCCAAAGTAAATTTCATCGTGAAAACCTTCAACAGTAAAGATCTGATTTGGCTTGCGTCCATAGTAACAAATATCGGCGACCGGCGCCAGCGGAAAGCCCAAACACACGCTAAGTATGTTGCGATCGTAGAAGATCGTCATCAGCGGATGATTCACTTCCATGAACCAACGTTTGATAGTATTGAGTGTTTGCTCATTCCAATCGCGATGATCTAAAGCGAACAGCATTGTCATGCGCTGCACGTACATGGTGAGCTTATTCAAATCATCTTCGGTATACTCCGGCACCGGTATGACGGGCGCGATGGGCAGCAAATCCTTCTTCTTTTTATCAGCAGCCTCTGCGGAACAGAAAGCGATTGCGTAATACATATGTATGTATGTATGCGAAAGAAATATAGGAGCCTTTAAAAGAATACCCACTCACCTTGTCCATCCATCGAAGAACTACTCGACATGCTGAACGCATCACCGGCGGCATCTTTGTCCACAGCATTTTCGGATGATTTGCCCTTCATGGACATTTTGCTGGTCAGCAGCTGCGTCTATTCGCTTTGGAAATTGTTTTTGAAATGTGAAAATTTTTGAAAACTATTTGGCAAATATGCAACAGTTTCCATGTAGTCAGGATTTTGTTGTCAGTGCGAGGTTTCTGTTGCTATTTTGAATACGAAAGGGGAATTTGTTTATTACGGTTGCTTGGCTGCGTTATTTGAGGTTGATTTGTTTGTAAACAATGTAGCGCAAAAAAGCACTTTAAGTTCGGTTTCTAATAGCAACCAACAGCTGATTATGTTTTTATTTTGTTTTCATATCCGAACACAATTTATAAAAAAAATTGTTTTGATCGCCGTTTTCATTTTTTTGTTTTCGGCTTCAAAACCATTTGAGTTACCTAGCAACGTTTTTCTATTTTTTGTGTTTGTAAACAAAAAATTTGTAAATAAACAATACAATTTTGTTGCCAATGGCAACCTCACAGCTGATTGTGTTTTTATTTGGATTTTAATACTGTGCTTTCTTTTATTTTCATTTCTTTTGGTTTCAAGGTGAAAAATTGTCTGAAAAGCTGCTTGCCAAAGCTGATTATTTTTTTTTAAGTAATATCGTAAGCATTTTACAAAGGCAGATATGGTCCGAAGAAAAAATGATCGTACAATTACATATATGTATATTAGGGCGGGTCAATTTGTTTGGGTGTTATTTTCGACTTTACGCGTATATCGCAAAAGCATTCCGCGTGTAATTCTAAGCAAAATTTCCGAAGAAACAATGGGTCTAATATCAATTTTTAGTTTGCCAAATTGCGCAGTTACATACGTTTATTAGCATTTTGTTGTAGTATCATAAAGAACTGCTTAATTTCTTTTTTTATAAAAACATGCTATAAGGGGTTTTTGGTAAGAGGTATCCATTTCTGCACTTACCTTTTTCTTAAAACTTCCATCAGTACTTCGGAACTTATTTTTGCAATTTGGCAAACTCCTAACTGATTTCAGGCCAAGTTTTTCTTAGGAAAATTTGCATAGAATTGTAGAATCCTCCTATACTATACGAACATAGTAAAAAAATTGACCCGCCCTAATGTTTTTTGCATATGATTCAAAAATTTATTTAAACAGTATTATTAAATTTTATTAATGAAATAGTTAGTATGAAAATTATGTGAATCGATTACAAATACAAATTTATATGCTAGAGTCTATGTATGTATGTGCATTAGGGTGGTCCAAAATAAATAAAGTCGGAGTTTTTATGCTCTCACTCCCTAAGATTGTTCAATACTAAAAAAAAAAATTATACTCCTGGTGTTTTATTTTGAAAACAAAAACTTTTAGAGGTAGCTAAAGCCCTCAAAGTTTCCATGTATTTTATATGGGAGAATTCGTATGAATGGCAAATCAATATTTTACGCTCGGAAAACTTTGTTTCTCTTCAGGAGACTACTAGTATTAGAAATGGTAAATGGAAGTCTCCTGAAGATAAGTAGAATTGTCTTAGAATACTTTTTTCCCCCACATAAAATATATGGACAACTTTGAGCGCTTTGAGCGAAAAAAAAACAGAGATATAATTTATCGTAATGCTGAGTTAAGCGGGTCTCACGCGGCAGCCCTTTGTCTGCTATTGGTGGTGATTTAGCTCCAATAACGATATTCACGCAGCGAGCATCACGCAAAGTGATGAGGGACTCTCTGTGGATGCCGTTAATGGTTTGTCGGCATGCTGTTGGGTCCAATGGCTTTGTCAGATGTCTTTGGATCCCATCAAAGTGCAGCCTTCTGCCAACCAAATTTTCTTTGCTTACACTTAGATTGTACCCCCCGACTGGGAGCATAGGAGCTTGTTGCGGCTATGTACTTTGTGGTCAGAGAAGGAGACTCAGCCAGACATGTATCCCTGATCACCGTTCACTTCGTGGGAGAAAGGGCTAAGCTGCAGGCAGTGAAGAAGCGCTAATGTTCGGAGAAATAGCCGTTTACCTTCACGCACAGGTAATCAATTCCATTTCCAGAGCCCAACATCGATCAATCGTCCGCACATGAGATCAGAAAACCTTATTTCGTAAGCTGGGGAGGCTTCGAGATGAGAAGTTAAATAATACCGGCGATAGGACACCACGCTGTGGGACCCCTTTCTTTATCATTTATGTCTTAGATGTTTTATCTCCAGAGGTTACTGTCGACTAATTGGATAAAACGCTGATCACCAGGGAACGGATTTTTAGGACCTAAAAACCTATAAAAAAGGCAAAATAAAATAACGAAATAGGCTGAAAAATGCAAAATAAAATATCGAAAAAGGCAGGAAAAGGCACTAGGTGTTGCAAAAAAGGCAAAACAAAATAGCGAAAAAGGCAGGAAAAGGCACTAGGTATTGCAAAAAAAGCAAAATAAGGCACTAAGAAGACAGAAAATACGAAGAACAATCAAAAAATACATTTATTTTAGAAATGTTTATATTACAAGTAAAAAGAGAAAAACTATGAACTAGTTTCATTATATGAAAAATTTGTACTTTGAATCTTTAACTATTTTATCCTTTCGGGTTTCTAACTCATAAAACTTTAATCTGTTGATCCATAAGATGCATTTTGAAGTTTTCTGACAGCATTTTCATTCGATTTTCGCGAAGAAAAGCCTTGAATGCACTAAATGTGCGCTCGACGGAAGTTGATACAAGCGGCGCCCAATTTAACTAAGGAACGTTTGAAATGTTCATATTATCAGGAATAAGGGCGTTTTCCTCGCCCTTTATAATTTTATCCACACCCCTTGTTGTCTCCAAGCCTTCGTTAGCTGAGAAAATGCCTTTGATTTTTTCCAACACCAATTTGGCAAGAGGTCTCTGCGCTTCTATAAGCCGCATGGGCAATGTGTATATTTTTTAATCTTAGACAAAAAATTTTAAATGCTATAATCACTTTTTTAAAGGTAGAAAAGGCAAAAAAGGCAAATATCTTAAAAAAGGCAAAAAAAAGGCAAATATCTTAAAAAAGGCAAAAAAAGGCAACATCAAATGTGTATATATGGAATCAGGGAAAGCTAAATCGTGGACATTCTTAATCGAATATACTCTATCTCTTTAGCAGAAAAAAAGGCAATTTCCATAAAATCCGTTCCCTGTTGATCACCGTTGAGCACTTGTGGGGGAGGAGAGACCTAAATTTCTTCTAGAAGCGCGGAGTTGGAAACGATCTCAGACGCCTTTTATGGATCCAGAGCTACTACTAAAACTGTTCTCTCATATGGGAGGATACGGTTAAGGCCACTGGTTATCTGAGTGTTTAGGGCATTAAATGGCGTGGTGGTGCTGTGCATTTTACGGAATCCATGGTGATGCTTCGCTGGGGTCAGGTGGCATGTGTAGTACGGGAGCAGCAGGGCTTCAAGTGTCATTACAACTGAGGAAAGGAGGAAAACCGAGTACACCTTTTAAGACTGCCTTTTAGACTAAGGCTTGGGGGAAGCCACCGATCTTCAAAAGTGCATTAAGTGACCGATTGGCAACAGCATCGCACCAATTGATCGTTATCAGAACAGGTTCCGGCATCTAAGCCAGCTGGGCAAGCAGCGAACTCTATAGGCATCTTTGTTTAGGTAATTTCTACTTTCTTCTTATTCTATTGAGCAACCATTGCAGTATTTTTTGAATATCTTCCACAGCTGTTAATTTTACTAAGTTTTTGGAATAAATTTCCTTGAGACCAGTTTAATATCCCATGAGCTTTATAAGCTCCAAATTACTTTATCGAACTCCTCTTTAAATCTCCGAATATTCCCACAACTATGTACATATGTAAATCAATATGCAAATGGTTGTACTTACGCATTCTATAAATTCCCATTCACAACAATAAGGGGTTGTACCAAATACAAATTATGTTCGTCACCTTTAATCGATGCTTATCAAATGATGCTACAATGTAAACAAACATAAAAGCCCAACATCTCGCCTTTATCAGCCGACATACGGGCACACGCACCCGCACTACGTCGTCGTCTAGCCATGCCCACCCATGTGCTTACTCTACTCGCTCTGTGCGCACTTAGCAGCTCGGTGGTCGGTAGTTGGTGGGCAAGCGCTGCAGCAATGTGCAGCATTGCAGTGGCAACATGCCAACAAGTTAATTACAATAATTTTATACTTTTCGCCTGCAGTAGCAATCGATCAATGGCAAATCCCTCAATTGTGCTTTCTTAATTTGCGGAAATTTTCGACATTTCATCACCAGGCATCCAGCCAGTCGCCAGTCGCCAGTTGCCAGCCGACAGGACAGCTTGTTTTAATGCACACAGCGACAGCAAAAGGAATTACATTAAATAATAAATTACAATAATTAAGCGCAATACACCGGTGCAAAAGGGTGTAATTCACACACGGCTGACTCGAGTGTTGGCACCCTCTTAAATTTAAACATAGGTTTTGTTGCTGGAGCAGCAGCAGCAACGGCGCAGCGCGCCAACATTTCGTCTTCGGAGAGTAAGTAACTAAATAAAAGAGAGCACACTTGAAGACCAAAAGCGAATGGCAAATGTGAAGAAGGAGGCTCTGTGGTTTAGGTAGTTGTATTGGTGAAGCAGAATCGAGCTTAAAATGCTGCCAGTCGCTGTATTTGTTGCAACGTTTCACAAAGTTGTGCTGTTGTTGTTGTTGTTGCTGCTGCTGGTGCCTGTCACACCCTCGATTGCTGTCTGCAAGGAGTCTGTTGCTGAGGAAAGCACCCAGCGCTTGCCGTCAATGAGGCACCTTAACATTGACGATTGGTAATGATGAGCTTGAGCGGTATTGAAGCGTTTGTACAGGCGGCAAACGAAGTTGCAAATACATACAGACAGGTAGACAAGCTGATTGTTTATATTGTTGTATGCGTATATGGATGGACATGCGATCGGTGAAGAAAAAATAATTGAGGGAATACCTTGTTGTTGGTGCTTCTCTGTGCGGTGGTGGGGATGTTCAACATTATGCATTTGCTGTTGAT